AGACTGACGGCGAAGAGTCTCTAAGCTCCCCACGTCGAGTCCCGTACGGCCGAGTGGGAGGTACTCCCACTCGCGCTAGGTGCCTCCCCCACTACCGACCCTTACCAACCCGTGGGAAAGGAATCTGCTGATCTTTTAGGTCTGCACGTGTGAGTAAATATTAGTTACAATCAAGCTCCAAACTGCTGTCGGCAGCTGGGAATGGAATTTGCCCCGAAAAAATATCATTTACTATCAAGCACTAATTCCCAGTAGCGACTAAAGAATCAGGTTACTATCAGGCAGATATTCCCGGAACTGCACGTGCGCCCCACACCTGAGTCAGGAGATTTCCTTTCATTGCACGTGTGCCCTATTACGACTGTGGGAATTTTTTGTTCCAGCCCACATTATTACTTCATATAATTACTATTAACTATTTGTTACATTAATTAACAATAACTGTTAAAATTTATTCCCAATTAAAAAGAACAACAAAATATATAACACTGTTATCTGCCGCAACCATTTAATTAAAAATAAATGAAAAATAGCAATTGTTATACCAACCAAATGTTAGTAGCAGGTGTCGGTAATGTAGGAGCACGAAGACGGTATTACAGATTTGCACGTATCGACAGATGTCGATATGCTACAAAAATGCAAATATCGATGGTCGTTCATGAGAGCACCCAWYAGATAAAWGTGCAAATYATACARTATGTAGAGAAAAACATCGCGTACTAAAATATTAGGATACAAAACAATATAGATACAAATTTGTTAATAAAGAAAAAGAAAATATTAACGCTAAATATATAAAATTATGACAAATTTCAGATTTACTAAAAATACTTGAATTTTAGAAATAAGTTGTCACTATGACGTGACACCTCCTTCTCTTAAGAGAAGCACGTAGGAATTCATTTTTTACTGCTTTGTAAAGAGCGAAATTTTGGAAGGTTTTCGTCGTCCGCATAAAACTGCAATTGCTTACCGGGTGATTCCTCGGTTTGCGAGCTGCCTGTAGCCGTAGTTGGTTGATTGCCACCAGCTAAACTTTTTACTGTTTCGGACTGCTCCGTGGTGATTTCACGGAATTCGGTTTCGGTTTATGCAGCCCGGCGATCCTTACTGTTCCTTAACTGGAGAAGTAGGCCCGTTATTGAGCCCCATATAGCACCCAATAGATGCATGCTCCACCTTTATACCGTGGATAGGGCGTAACCACGCAAGAGGGAATCAACGACCAACTTTATTATTTTAAATATAAACATTACTCCCAGTATTGCCGCACTGACTGACCCGAATTTCAAAAGTCCGTTTCACACTTTCGAGGTAACACTCTCCGCAAATTTGTTAAATTCGTTTTTACTTACAAAGTTCATAAAATTTAATGTTTCTGTTTGCACTTTTTGACCGGTTGCCCCCCTGGCAATATTGTTCAGTATAGAGGGCTGTTCTATAGGGAACATTACGTGGTCCCTAAGATTGTCCAGATCCGCCTGTGTGTAAATACCACTGGTGGCCAAGGATCCCGCGTCGGTATATTTCCACAACACTTCCGTGTCTGGTTCCAAAACTTGCGGATCCTTCACGTAAGTTTGCTTTAGCAGCAACTAGTACCAAACACCTTTAACCAGATATTATTGTGGTAGTAGTGCGCTGCAGGATTCTTCGGTGCCCTTACCTACCAAAATTCTGGATTTTAGCCTAAGGAACATGCTGGTGTTTTGATATGACACTGGGCGTTCACGATAACATTCTTCCGCGTGTCTAACCCTTACAGGAACCGGTGTGCATTTGATAATATGTGCAACTTTACCGCCTATCACTGCCATGTATCCCAGTTTTTTCATTACCGTATACGCAAAGACATCAGGAAGGATYGCGGCCAAGGCCAACGCATTTCTGTTTACTTGCTGTTCCAGATTACATCTTTGTTGTAGTACACTGTGGTATAGAGCCTCCAACTGGCCACGATGATGCCTTCCAACATACACAAATTTCAAGTTCACGTAGGGGAACAAATCCATATTGTTAGGTGTTATTTTCGCCTTCGATGTGAACGTTCTTCCTCGCTGTGTTTCTCAAATGAACAGCCTCGGATGTTTTGTCGTGATCAAACTATACCCACAGAGATGGTGTTCTTCCTTGCCTATTAATGCGAAAGTCGTATCCCCCTCTGTCACCGTATACACTGCTGACAGTAGTGAAACGGTAACAGGCGAAACTATTTTTGTTGCTGTGCCTTCGTATAAAGCTGTGTATTGTTTAAAGTTTCACGCCGATTTAGGAATTAATGTCCAAAATGCACTCCCGTCTTCGTCCGTAAGACATGTTCCCTCCGAGAAGGTGCAACGCACATTTCCCCGTAGTTAGATCACATTATCCTTCACTCTTACTGTTCCCGTATATGTTCTTATATTTGTTCGTACTACACTTTGCACTACCAAAGCGTCCCATGTTCCGTCGGTATCAGCGTATTGTGTGCCGAGGCACTTACCGTCGGTGGCTATGGAGCCTGCTAATTTAACACTCTGAAATTCCGTCGTATTCACCTGAAGTCTAGTCAATTGAGTAAACGAATTTAAAGAAAGTGTACCGGTACTTATAATCGATTTGACAACGTCGGCAGAAACGTCCATCAGATATACGCGACGCCCGTTATGAACAGCTGATATATGCGAGCTCATGCCGCAGTAATAAATGACACGGTCAACTTCAATCCGACACTGGTATACCGGTGTTGTATCGTAGTCAGTCAGCTGCAATAGCTGTATGTACGTTTTCGTATGATTGGGTTTTGTTGTGGGGAGATTGCAGTCCCCTGTCTCCAGCAGTGACACAGATGTTATATTCGCAGCTGTTCCGCCGCAATCGTAACCCAACAATGCGGAAGCCATGGTGACGCAACCGATGATGATGCAGCAAAGTTCGGAATGCATCCTTTCTGTTGCAGATGTACAGGTCTTGACAAAAATTTCTAATAATAGATTCATACAAAGGTTATATGTGTGATAACTATGCAAGAATTGTCCTAATTTTTATTGCTAGTTAATTTCACTTTGTCTCGATGGACAATCCTACTTCCATTTTTATAACTAATTTTTTATTTTATTATTACGTAGAATCTCTAGAATTTGGTAGGGGCCAGTTAACTGGTTTCCAAGCTTAGAAGTTGGTTGTTTCAGCAAATAGACGTTATTTCCGACCTCAAGTTTTTGGCCGCGAGAATTTTGATCATAATAAAATTTGGATTTTATTTTTGCGCCCACCAGGTTCCTTCTTGCGATTTTCTGAGCTGACCTAATTTTATGAACTAAATCTAAATAGTATTTTAAATAGGT